CCCCCCCCCCCCCCCCAAAATCTTCCCCGACTGGGCAGGGAAGGAGAGGGTCTCTCTCCCCTAATCCCCCCGCCCCGGCTCAAGCCATCTCCTCCCTTCGGCAGATCTGGTTCTACACCAACACCATCTTCGAGAACGCCGGCATCCCGGCGCCCGAGATCCCCTACACCACCGTGGCCACCGGCGCCATCGAGGTCATCGCTGGCCTCATTGGAGTGAGTGTCTCTTGTCCCCCTCCTGCCCCAGGGTCCCACAGCCCATCAGGGCGGGCAGCGAGGGCTGTGGGAACAGCACTGGGGAGGGCCGGGATTTCCTCAGGGCAGTGGGCAGTGCCAGATCCCCGGAGGGTCAGGACTCCTGGCTTCTTGCCCGGCTCGTGGAGAGAGACAAGTCTGTAGCTTGGAGGCAGGCATAGCCCCGGGGTTGTCTCTGAGCCCCCTCTTCCCCCCACATCAATCAGCCCCACTTAGTCAGGGAGTGAGCACCGAGTTATGGCCAGTCCTGCCCTGGGCCGGCTGGAGCCACCGGGGTTGACCCACAGCGAGGGCTAGGTTGGCCATGCCTGCACAGGGCCTAGCCGGGGGCAGCGGGCAAGGGGCCCAGCCATGGCTCCCCCCACCGCACGCCTCCTCCGTGCTGCGTCAGGGAGAGCTGCGCCGCGCCGGCGCTAACGGCCCCCGACGGACGTGCCGAGATGGGTTATAAAATTACAAGCATTTGTTCTGCTGTCAGCCCCCCTCCTGCTCCCGCTGGCGCCCAGCCCCACGATGCAGGGGGCCGACCGCGCTGGGGACTGGGGGAGCCGGTCCCTGGCGGGGGAGACAGATGGCAACGGGGTCCCTCTGTCCCCCACCAGCAGCAGGGGAGAGATCCCGGGAGTCTGGCCCCTTCCCTGGCCACGAGCCTGCTCTCCCGGAAAGGACGCGGGCGTCCGGCACCAGCCCCTCACACCCACCCGCCCTTCGCACAGCCCAGATCCCCCAGACCCCCCACTCTAACTACTAGCTCATCTCCCCTTGCACAGCTGGGGACTAAAACCCAGGAGTCCTGGCTCTGCCAGCGCCCCATGCTGTAACCACTACACCGTCTTTCCCCACAGAGCAAGCCAGGCATCCTGGATAGCCCACTTCTGCCCCCTTGCTCTAACCACTAGCCCGTCCTTCCTTCCTCCTGGAGCTGGGGCAGAAACCCCAGGAGCCTAGTCGCCCTGCACTAACTACCCCCTGCCCACACCCAGGAGACCTAGGACCAGGTAAGCATCCTGCCCTCAGGTGCTCAGACCAGCCAATGAGGAAGGAATCTGACGTTGTCATGCCCCTGTTCCCCATTCCATTGGCTGATTGCGCTGCCACTCAGGACCAGGGTGGGGGGACAGCAGTGCCTGGGATAAGGGAGGGGCTCTCCTAACCCTCTGCCCCCTCCCCACAGTGCTTCACCATCGAGCGCCTGGGCCGTCGGCCCCTCATCATCGTCGGCTTCTGCTTCATGGGCATCTGCTCCCTGGGCATCACCATCTCCCTGGTGCTCCAGGTGGGTGCGGCCCCCTCCGGCCTGGCCCCCGCTTCTACCCCAGGACCACCCCCCACTCTAGCAGGGCCACCTTCACCACCTCGGAAATCCCCCAAGCCCCCAATTTGGGGGTTTCCAGTGAATTGTTATTAATGGATCCATGGTCCGGGAGTGTGGGTCTCCCTGCTCTAACCACTGCTCCACCAGCCCTCCCAGAGCTGGAAGTCCTGGATCCCCCAGGCCCCCCGCTCCAGCCACTGCTCCATCCGGAGCCTAAGTTTTGAGGGCAGACAAGATTCAGGGTTGCTAGAAACTTGCCTGAAGACAGCAATTAAAGGGGCTTCCCAGCCAGTGCTGGGGCCTGGGACCAGGCCGGAGCAGGACGGGCTGAATGAAATGTAATGGCGGGGGGCTGCTATAGACAGGTGTCAGCCAAAAAGTTTCGACTTTGTATTGCTCCCTGGTAGTGGAGTCGTGTATCCCAGATGTGCGAGGCCTGTCTCTGCAAACCTGGAGTAATTTGTCGCTGGGGTCCCTGTAGGGAAACTGAGATAGGACCCCGCTCTAGGATCTAAACACGTCTCCCTCCTGCCCCAGACTGCCGTACCCTGGATGCGCTATGTCAGCGTGGCCTGCGTCATTGGCATCATCGCCGGCTTTTGCATTGGACCCGGTGGGTACCAGGCCCGTGAGGCAGAACAGCAGGGGGCTGCGGGTCGGGAGCGAGGGGCACAGTGGGGTTAGGGGGTGCGGGTCGAGTGATGAGCACTGGCAGGGCTGGGCGGGTAACGGGGTGCAGGTCGGGAGTGAGGGGCATGGGCAGTGTGTCTCTCATTCCCTCTGGCCCTTCCTGGCCCCTGCAGAGCTTCGGACTGCTGGACCAGAGTCCGGTCCAGTGAGCCTGGGTGGGAGGTGGTGCCTTGGGGCCCAATCCTGGCTGTGGGACCCAGGGGGGCTGGGATGCAGCCCGAGACACCTGCCGGCACCCACGGCCCCCCTTCCCCAGCCGCCCCTCTACTCCCACCACACACGCACGGAGCCAGCGTGATCCTCCCCACCTGGTTACAAGCCTGCCAGGGCCTCGCACGCTCTGCCCACGTAGACACGGCCCCGAACGGGTTCCCTCGCTGATGCATGCGCCAGGGCGACCGACAGGTCTATAACTCATCCCCGGCCTGGAATTTATTTGCTGTAATTACATCTTTAATTAGGACTTGAATGGCTCATTGTTCACAAACAATGATGAATCGGACTTTGAAACCCGAAAGCGCCGCTTCCTACATGCAGCCCGGCCCGGGCTGCGCAGCACTGGCCGCCAGGCCCTTTTCTGCTCTGCACCTGGAGCTTGGATCTGGGCACGCAGCATCTTTATTAGATGCTCTCCCACCCCAGGGAGCAGCTGCCATGGGTGTGGGGGGGTCTTGGGAAGACCCAGCCCCCAACACCTGGGACATCTGAGCCCAGAGACGCTGCCCAGCGGTCTGCTGGGAAACACGTCCTGGCTGAGTCATGTGCCCACGGGGTGTATGTACACACCACGTTTTTTGCCCTTTATGCACTGCAGCTGTGTGTCTGCACAAGCACAATTTCCAAACGCTTTAAAAGTCTTTCTTTGACCTCCCTATCCCATGACGTGCCACAATGAAGACTCCCAGGATGCACTGCTTGTAGGGGGGCAGTGTGGTGCATGATGGGAGATGTAACACAGCCAGGGAACAGGGTCATAGGAGCAGGTGGGGCCTGGTTGCACACCCCCCCATCGTGCATCCACCCCCCCAAACGCTGGACCCATTGGGTGCTGGGTCCCAGTGAGTGGCCCATGCTCAACCTGCCCCTCCCGCCCTGCAGCTGGCGTCCCCTTCCTGATGACTGCGGAGCTCTTCAAGCAGTCACACCGGCCGGCCGCCTACATTGTGGGCGGCTCCCTCAACTGGCTCTCCAACTTCACCGTCGGCTTCGTCTTCCCCTTCCTGCAGGTAAGGACGGGGCAGGCTCAGGGCTGGGGAAGTGGGGAGAAGGAGAGGGGTTGTGGCCCCAGGGGGCTGCGTGGGTACCAGGATCAGCCAGGGCCTGCAGCCAGCAGACCTGGGAGAGGATTTCATAGACATTGGGGCTGGAAGGGACCTCGGGAGATCGTCGAGTCCAGCCCCGAGCCCGAAGGGCAGGAAGTCAGCTGGGGTCATAGGATCCCAGCAAGATGAGCATCCAATTTGCTCTTGAAGGTGTTCAAT